GGCCGGGGCCCCTGCCGCCCCGTCCTGCCCGGGGAGGCGCGACGGTCACCCGAGAGCTGTGGATGCTTCGAGCGCCCGGGAACCGGCCAGCCGCGTCGGTGTTTCGCAAGCTCTTCCTTCTTTAAGTGGGAAGCCTGCGGGAAAAGGGCGGCACGAGGGATGGCACATTGTCTTGTGAGGCCCAGAAGGGCCGGTGCCAGGTGGAGGGCGTGTCTGGAGCCTGCAGTGGTGGAACAAGAGCGAATTTCTCTTGGTTGCTCATGAGATTTAGCTCTGCTGAAGATACTTTTTTACATACAGCTTCATTTAAACCCAACACTGATTACAAGAGATAGTCTGGACATTTAAGTTGCTGGGGCTAATCTAGAGGCACGTTACCTTCGTAAACTCCCATTTAACTTATGACTAAGTGTAATTCCTTTGCATCTGACACATGTACATCTTTGGCTTTTGCTTTAAAACTTACGGCATGATGAAGATGGCTATAGAAAAGCTCACTGCAAAGAGCTTCAGAAAGACCCGTTTATTTTGTATTTCATTTACAGTCTTGGACAGTTGTCCCTGATTTTACCCATCATGCCCACTCTGCCTCATTATCAGCAGTAGCAGTGAATAACAGATATGTGGTCACAGGGAGCAGAGATGAGACAATCCAAATCTATGATATGAAAAAGAAGATAGAGCATGGGGCACTGCTGCAGCACAATGGTAAGGGAGCCTTTCGTCATGCAAAATCTAATGATAGAACCTCACAACTGGAAAACTGCTCTACTTCATGCGCCACCTAAATTATAGCTGGGAAAGAGAGGGGTTAATAACAGTCCAGTTCAACATGTGTGAATGATTTGTAGCTCAATCCTGAATGTCCTTTTTCTCCTGACAACAAGGAAGTACGCGGAACTGGACTGAACAGTCATGGTACATGCATTCAAGTTACGTTTCGTAAATCTGGTGCTTTTGGGAAGCAGCGCGTGCAGTAGATTCAACTATGTGTCAAAAAGGGGGCTTTGACATAAGACCCTTCGTTACCACTGATAGAAGCTGTAGGTTACCTGAGCCACAATTGCTGATTACTGCTATTTCAAAGGAGGGATCAGATGAAGTTCAGATGTATATGGCCAGAGGGGGATGACGGAGCACGTAGACTGAATATAGCAAGGAAGTTCATTTTTTCGTGAAGAAATATTTGGGAAATAATTCAGATTTTCCCAAGAGTAGAGCAGTACTTGGCATGTTTGGATGCTAGAAGCATCTCTGTTAACTATTATGTTCTCTGTGTAGTGACTGTTCAATATGTACAGCGTTGTTAGTAGCACTGATTTTGATTCATAGGCACAGTAACTTGTCTGGAGTTCTATGGTACTGCACATCTACTGAGTGGGGCTGAAGATGGACTAATTTGTATCTGGAACACAAAGAGATGGGAATGCCTGAAATCCATTAAGGCACATAAGTGAGTTTCTTAAATCTGCATATTCATATGAGTTTTCATGTTTATTTTCCTTGTAAATAATAAATGTGGCCAATACATTATTTTATTTTTATCAGGGGGCACGTGACATCTCTTTCTATTCATCCTTCTGGGAAATTAGCTTTGTCGGTAGGAACAGATAAAACATTAAGGTGAGTCGAAACTGATCAAGAAATGCTGAGAATCAAAGTGAAGTAGTTCTTAGTAAATTCTGTGTTTATAAGCATCAATCCCGTTTTAGGCCTAGCCTGTGCAACACTGATGAAACATATTTCAACATAAGGTTACTGGTTTGTCTTTTTAAGTTCTGAGTAACAGCAACATTGAAACTCTTGTCAAGAATTGCTCTTGCTGTTTCTAGCATCTTGCTCTACTCTAACTCTTTATAATCACCAGTAAATGTAAGAACACGTTTTCATTTTAGAACACTATTTGTTTAAGCTTATGAAAGCTGTCAGGTTTTGTTCACTATGAGAAAAGTAATATTTATTTCATTTGGAGTGTGTACATATTGCTGCCTATGTGTGTTTTTTGATATATATATACATACACACGCACACACATGCACACACGTATATATGTGTGTGTGTGTATGTGTATATATGTATATATAAAAATCAAGTTACTTTAACAGAACAATTAGTCTCCTTTTGCAATTTGGCTCTGCATTGCAAACCGTGGTTTACAAAGTAAATAATACAACTTTAGCCATATAGTATGTAAACAAAACACAACATATCAAGTCATCAATTCCTCTTGCATTAAGAAGGTAGTAAAATGCATAGAGGTACTTAAAACCTTCTTTTCAATGCCTACAGCCTTCACTGTAGGTTTCGCTACGCTGTTTTTAACTTGAACGCACATCATCTATTCTTGTCTTTCAGAACTTGGAATCTTGTAGAAGGACGATCAGCCTTTATCAAAAACCTGAAGCAAAGTGAGTTTGTTGGTCTAAATCCATTAAACAGCTAGAATTAGATAGGGGTTTTTTTTTTGTTTAAAGGTGAGTGAAGATAAGTAGAATGAATTAATCAACAAGCCAGTTAATTCCAAGCTACTTTGGCAACATCTCTTTTGCACATGCAGAAAAGCGTATGTCCTTAATTGTAACTATTTACTGAAAGGAAAACAGAGTGACACTAAGTAAAAATAGTATTTTCTTCCTTAAAGTTTCATGTCAGGATATTTAAATAAATGTTTTATTTTCTTTATAACTTTTGATAACGAGAAATAAATATTTAAAACCACGGTTTTACTTGTTACCGATTTATTTGAGGTTATTTGATTTTTTTCTTCATCTTTCTCAGGCTGACTTAGAAAGCAGTGTCTAGCAGCTTCTGAAAATTTTTACTTTTAGATTCTATCTACTATAGAATGCAAACAGCTGCATACCTGTGTATATAATTCTATCTGTGTATATAGATGCCCAAATAATTAAATGGTCTCCCAGTGGAGAGAAGTATGTGACCGTGATAACAAATAAGGTGGATGTCTACAAACTTGACACAGCCTCAATCGCTGGCACCATCACAACTGAGAAGAGAATTTCTTCGCTTACATTTATTACAGTAAGTGCAAAAAGAAAGGTGTTGACGTTTATTACAGTAAGCACAGAAAGAAAGGTGTTGGGAAGTAAATTGGTTTGAAACACAGGAATTTAATCACACTTGCATTTCTTTTCTCCTATTCCAAGGATTCTATCCTTGCTATAGCTGGAGATGATGAAGTTATAAGGCTCTTCAACTGCGACTCTCAAAAATGCCTATGTGAATTTAAAGCTCATGAAAACAGGTATTTTATATTTGTTCTCCTATACTATTTAAATATTTATGGCAATGCTGAATAGTCAGTACAGTTCAATGAATTGTAATGTTCAGGATATTTTAGTATTGTTCCTGTTTTAATGTAGAGAGTAAATTTACTTTCTATGTGCTGAATTCAAAATTTGAGACAGACTCGTTTGCTTTTAGTATGAGCAGAAGTACTGTGGTCTCCGTGCAAATTGCAAAAACAGCAGGGTATAGAATCAGAAACAGCAGTTCTAAAATTATGATCTGAAATATGAAATATTTAGATCTAAATATAAGATCTAAATCTCAGAATAGATCATAACTGAATATATGCCTCAAATATAAAATCTAAATATACTGGCATGGATTTATGTTAATCTTTTTTTCAAGAGGAAGATCCCCTTCCCTTCTTTCCTTCCCAGAACTGATATGCCTTTACAAGTTACCATATCAAAATTTCATGGGACCCTGGGGGAATCTGTAGTGCTTCTGAGGCAGCAGATGACAGTGGCTCCACAGGGTTCCCACCGTTCCGCTGCAAAACTGGACTACAGTAGACAGGCAGACTCGATAATAAGAGGTCTGGTGATGTCCTCCTCTCATATCTCAGTCAGTCCTTGCAGCAGTTGCCCCCTCCACGGTTAAGGGTCTGAATTACCCAGCAGGCCAGGCCCTGCTTGCAGCCTATCCCTGCTAAGAGCCCTGTAATACGACCACAGCCCTGGGGCCATCATGGGACTGCTCAGAAGTTGCCACTGGTGTCTCTTGAACCATAGCTTGGTCACCCTGGTATATCAAAGCTTTGCAATGGGGAGATGGTAGGGAATGAGACCAAAAAGGAGAAGGTTCTACTAAACTATTTGGTTTTGTATAAAATGCATGTGCATGGTTTTTATAAACACATGTATGTGTGTATATATACACAAATGCGTGTGTGTGTTTAATTGTTATTAAAATATTCGTATATATATATTAAACTTTACATCTGTGGTCTATATATTCCTGAGATTGGGCACCTGTATCTTCTGATAAGACCATTAAAGAATGCTTAAGTAGATTTTACAGATTCTGGCTGTATAGGATACACATAAAATAAACCAATTGTACACAGTCCAGACAATAGAAGGGTAATTAGGTATTCTCTGTTGTTGTTCAACACCAAATATTAGTCCAGACACAGATTTTAATTCACCAAAACACAAAAGCATTAGCTGAAATGTCGTTGATGAGGATAAATCTTAGTGTGTGCTTAAAAGTACTAAAGTGTTCTTCTGAATTGAATCCTAACAGCCTAGGAGAGGCAAGTAATCCTACTCTAAATGACAGCATTCAAAACAGATTACCTTTCCAAGTTCTCTCCTGTCATTTGTGGTTTTTCTGTTGGAATTGATTTTTAGACTGTTGCCTATTTATGTTCAATTTCTGTCAGCGTATTGTTCTGAAGTAAACTACCATGCTATAAAGTAACCAAGTATTACATTTTCTTCCCAGAATAAAAGATATCTATAGTTTTGAAAGGGAAGGACAACATGTTATTGTTACTGCGTCCAGTGATGGTTACATTAAAATGTGGAATCTGGATCTTAATAAGGTTGGTTCATTTAACTGGTTGGTAGATTTGTGGAAAAACATCAGACAACTAAAATTGCAGATTGTTCTATTTTAAAGACTAATTTTAAGTCAAGGAAATTTTATTTGTAATCTAGATATCTTGATCTTCCTCCATGTTATGTTCAGCAGAAGATGTATGTTTCTATATGTATATTTGTGTATGCGTCCATGTCTTTGTATCTTTGTAATTTTTTAACAAGCTATAAAAATCTGATCAAATTATGAAGCTCTCATCCTCTCTCTTACGGAAAGTCATGCTTTCCTGTAGACCTGCCTGGCAATCTTATCACTGTCTAATCAGTTACATACGCTCTAAGGATCGCGGTCAACTTCTGTAGTGTTGTTGACTGTTGCTACTCCCGTTAAAAACATAAAACCCAAGGTGTGGGGGTGGTGTTTGTTCACGTGCGAGAAAAAAGTTGTCCTGTTGAAAAACTCAAACTCATGAATGTACAGGGTACTTTTATTTCCTATATTTCCTGAACTTTTCTTTATTTTCCAACAGTTCTGAGTAGCACAGTTGAACAAGGAATCACGCCTTATCTTTAAAGTTTCCTGTGTTTATTGTTTTCCTTTAGAGTGTGTTTTTTAAAATGAAGATTAGATTTTTTGTTTAATGCCTAATCATAAAGGATCTATTATATTCCATTATAAGTATTGTGAACCGTTGCAATACATATCTGTTAACATTTTGTTCTTTCTATTTCTAGTCTGAATTTTCCCATGTATAATTTCAACCCCCTTGATGATTTTTATGCTTTTAAGTGCTAGAGTGAAAAATCTATCTTTTCCCTTTGTCTCAAAATTCTGTTCCCCTTCTACGTAATAGACATAGTCATCAAGGCACTCTTTAACCCTCTCTGTAACATTGTCTTTACTTTGACTAAATGTGTGTGGTTTTTTGTTTTTCTTCTTACCATGCAGACGTAAAGTCTTGTAAAACTGTTTTTGTTACTGCATGGACTGCTCTGTCCAGTTCTGTGAGGAAGAATATCCTATTGCAAATAGTTTCTGATGTGTTGATATTGTTATTCTGCATGTTTGTGGCACTTTATCCCCTAACTGATGCAGCAGGATATTTGCCCGAGTATTCCCAGAGCTGACTGATACAGAAACAGTTAAGAAACTGTGTAGATGCAGATAGATGCAATGGTTGATGGTTGTGCTGGGAACACAGTATGAAGAGATTACTTTTAATCAGCAGCCTTGTCTTTGTGAGGGAGAAAAGGAATCTGATGAAATCACCTAATTCAAATTATTTTAGCTGCACCAAAAAATAGCTATTACTCTGGAGCTTAACTTTTGAACCATTGACAAATTTTACTGTGGACCTGCGCTTCAGCTGCTTGTGCTTTATATTAAACAACTTGCACGTGCCTGAAACCCACCAATCCTGCTCCTCAGGGTATCCTGTTAAGGTAGTTGGGACTTTTGTATAAAACCACCAGTGAGGAATGATGGATAACAGGACCATAAGAATCTGACCGTTAGCCTGCACAGCATCTAATTCTAAACATCTTTAGGTATCTTACAGTTCTCCAGAAAAGAAATGGAATTCAAATACTTTCTCAAGTTCAAATACTTAAGTAAATTTAAAGGGAAATAAAGTAATGTTTAATTAATCTTTTTTTTTTTTTTCAGATTAAAGATATGCCAACTTTACTATGTGAAGTCAATACCAAAGCTAGACTGACATGTCTGGCAGTATGGTTTGACCAAGCTTCAGAAATCAAAGAAAATTCTAATAAAGCCACAACATCATCTCAAGGTAATAGAATTGTGTGTATTTTTAGTTGTTAATGCGACTGTGAAATGGAAGATACTTAGCGGGGGGGTTTTCATACATACACTGGGAAAATTTTGGTAGCGTAAAGAACTGGGTATATGAGACTGGCAAGTGATACAGATATCCTTGCCCATCTAATACTGTCCCAAGCCTGCACGTAGCAATGCCGCATCTATAGAAATACACATAGGAAGATAGACAGAGGGACTGAGTGATGATTTGGGCCTGAGCAATAGTTCATTTGTGTCTAGAAACTGACTGCATGATGTATTGTCACCTAGTTGGAAGTATATGGACCTCTTTGCACTTCTATTCTATGAGAGTTTTTTGTTCCTCCTTGCTGGAATAACATACAGAGGAACACACTGTGAAGCTTTTTAAACAGATATGAAAAGAATAAACAGTGTGATAGAACTGCGTTTCTTGTATGCACATAAACAAAATTCGATCTGAGGCCAATACAGCTGGGCAAACTTAGGAAATCCAGCTCAGTATCTTTTCTTATTTTGTTTTCCTGTGTAGTGATCTATTTACATACTTGCTTTTCAGATTATTTTCATTTCACAGGCAAAACTGGCATAAATGGCACACTCCACTTGAAATACAGAATCATTTTATAGTCTCTCTTTTTTAAAGGGAGATAAAAATAACTCTCTGTGCCACCTTAGACTATAAAGACTGGAAGTAAACACAGTGGATATTTTTTTTTGCCTTTTTTCAGCAAATGAAGATGAGAAGTCATCAATAGTCAGGAAAAAGAAAGTTTGTTGGACGGATAAGAGTGATAAAACACCAAAAAGAGGCAGAAAAATTACTCCCGAGAAGCGAAAATTGGAAACTCCACTGCAAAAGAAGAAAAAGAAACTGAAGAGCTCAGAATGAAGGCAACTACTTTCTTCAATAAAAAGCAAATGGTGGTGTTTCTGTAATCAGTTTTTACGAGGATCTAAACCTTTGACAGAACGTACACTTCTGAAGAGATCTGATGTGTCAAAGTAATGATATCTTTGATGAATTGACTGATCATTTTGGGAAGCACCAAAAGAAGTGGCAAAAATAAATGCGTGAAGTGTAATATTTATATTTTTATATTGACAATATAACAACTTTTTAACTGGCTCTGAAAATGTCAGCAAAAGCAATTAAAAATAACTAGAACTGCTACATCAATTAATGTCTGTGTCTCAGTTAACTGCAAATTGAATATGCCTACAATTTTTCATTTTAGTGTTGAAAAATGGTTACTGTTCCTTTGACTTAGAAATGATCTGCCTTTATCATGCATTACTTTTCCTACTGTAAGAAGGAACACATTTAAATTACTTAAAATATGATGATCACGTTCCATTCATACTTTCATAAAAAGTTTTGCTTTTTACTTCTTGTCATATATATGTAGGGTTTATAAACAAAATGTTTGCTTTTTAACCTTCTATTTCATGCCTTTAATTTTTTTTAAGTCCTTGTGTCCATACATACAGTCTAGGTCCCTTTTTTTCCAGGAGCTGATGTTCCTGATTGAAATGAATGCTCATAAAATGTCTATATAAAGTTTACACCACATATTTTCAAGAACTTCCCAAATACTAATGATTATGAAATATGGAAAGATTAGCTTTAGGGGGTCACATGACTGAAATCTTTTATTCAGACAACTATATATAAGTGGAAGAGTTTATATTGAATAGATTTTTCCATTTTCGCCCCTTCCCTTTGATCTAACCTGTATCGTAAAAAAAAAAAAACAAAAAACCAAAACTAACATATTTGAAGTTTGTCATGCTGAAAGAATGTCACCCATCTGTTTTGTACTTAAACAAAAAGTGAATTCCTGAACTTATCAGTCAGTGGGAACAGGATTTTATCCTAAGTCTTAACACAAACATACAGTGAGAAAAACAAAGTTGAGATGGAGAGAACAAGGTCAAATAGTTGTACTAAATGTTCTTTATTACTAAAGTGAATCAGAACAAAGCATAACTCCAACCATCTTTTGAAAACAGGAAATAATGACTGCTGTGGTAGTGCAGAAACCATTATTAAAAAAAAAACTTATTTTAAAAGAAATAAATCTACTTATTTATGTGACAAGAGAAAAGGTAGAAAAAATCAGAAAAATGATCAAGCCACATCTAGAGACAGGAATGCAGTCTGTCTTAAGGATATAAAATAGGACACAATTCCAGGCCTGTGTAGGCTCTGACACTGAAGCAAAGTGAGTATCTTCCAGGCTGTTGTGAGATTATTCATGTGGCCATGGCAATATTCTCCTGAAGGTAGATGTCCGTAAACCTTGTGTGTGGCCGTTTCCTTTATTCACATGGTGATCACAACCCCCTGTAGGAGTTAGTTTAATTCAACAATAAAGAGATTTCAGTTGTACCTTAATTTAAACTTACATAGCTTTGAACTTTAGTAATATTCTGAATATATGTGTACACAAACACAGGCAAATAATACAGGACCTAAAACAGTTTGTAGACTTGACAGGAAAATAAACAGATTTTTAATTGACAGGTAGGCTCCCGTGGTGTATAGGACTTGTAATATTTTCTTATTTAAGCTTTGTAAAGTATTTTCAGATATCAATTTTATAGTGTTTATTTTCTCTCTGCTTGACAAAATGGCTGCTACTACTCAAACAATTGCCATTGTTTGAGTTTTTAAATATATGAGCTTATGGCCATGAACATCACGATTTACAGAAACAAGCTCATGCCTGAGCACCGGGAAAAGTCCAGTCTGCACGTTATCTTAAAGATGAAGAAGCAACAAGTCCATGTTCTGGACACCAGAGTTCTGGTTCTAAGTGTTCGACTCTTAATAAATAAATGGTAGACATCTGTGTAAATCTAACACCCTGGGTAGTAGCAAGGAATTATGCATCTCATAGTGGGACTCAGAACAATTAGTGAGCTGAGCAGGAGGCATGGAAGACAACAGCTTTTACAGTGAAATACAGAAATACTCATGTTTTGTATACCTTGAGTGAATGTCCAACTATTAACCAGCAGTTGGCAATTTTTTTTCTCTTGTGCACATCTTCCTTTCCAGAACATTTTCCATTCTTGTTTTCAGGGAATGATAGAGAGGAGACAGCAGGGCAGAGAGAGAGAGAGGACAAGTCAGCAGGGAGAGAGCCCTTCCTGTGTCAGGGTGAACGTGGATGACACCGGTAGAGTTAGTAGATGGAGCCGTGGCTGCAAACGACAGGCTGGCAAGCAGCCTCTAAGGGTAGCCTCAGGTGAGTTCAGTGGTTCTGGCAGCTGTGGGTTTCTCCTGTTTTTCAGGGAAGTATTTTATAACCCCCTCTTTGGGAACCCCTGGACTGGATTACCAAACAGAGCCCATTGAAACGTGAACCCGCAGCTTTGACAGAAAAGTGAACCCACCCAGTATAGCTTAGATACGTGTTGGTTAAGGCACTTCTCTGGGAGAGGAGATCTATATTTAAACCAATTAGTTCGAGCAGGGAATTAAAACACTCCCCTCACTGACCATTAGGCTAATTCATACAAGATGGGAGCGCCCGTGTGTTCTAAAGCAAGCTGCATTTTGCAGAAGTCCCAGAGCTGTGATGTTTTGTATGTGCCCTCTGCTATGGGGAGTTACAGAAGCCCTGAAACCCAGCTCAGGGACACGGCTGGAGCACTACTGTTTCTTTCTGTTTGGTTAAATGTACGTGGTGGGTAACTGCTCTGCCAACTGGAATAAATCATGCAGCAAAAAAAGAAAGCCAGTTTCCATGCTTAAAAAAAAGAATTTAGCTTAAATCTGTGTAGACAGTTTTAAACATCTCTCAACATTTTTTTCCAGATTAAAAACAAAAAAAAGCAAAACATTTTCTTTGCCAGATGTTTTCTTCTGACTCATTTACTGTTGGGCTAGCTGTGGTTGTATTTTGAGGATCATAGAAATAACCTACATTTTCCAAAAAACAGGTTCTACTGGAATTCTTAATCAAAGCTAGAGACAGCCTGTTGACTGCCTGGAGACATGACCCACACCAAAACCCAACCCCAAATTCTCAGCTGAACCCTTGCTTCATTTAGAGGACCAGGATGCACTGGGCAGAAATAAGTACAGTTACAAAGGAGCTCTGCTGCCTCACTGAAGCAGC